GCCAGGGGGAGCTTTTCTTTCTTTCCCTGGGGGCTGCGGGGGGGGAGGAGGGGGAGGGGGGGAGGGAGGGGAGAGGGGGGGTAGGGTGTCCGGGAACTTACGATGAAGTCGGATTTTTAGAAGAGATTTATTCTGCTTTGTTCGGTGTTTTATTTATTTATTTATTTATTTAGTTATTCCTTTCTTTTTTTCTTTCTTTCTTCCTTTCCTTCTTTCTTCTTTTTTTCTTTTCTTTTCTTTCTTTCTTCCTTTCCTTCTTTCTTTCTTTCTTTCCTAAGCAATATGTTGTATAAGGACTTATTTCTTCTTTTCTGGAAACATATATCATACAGTTTGACAAACCGTGTGAGATTTTTTTTTTTTTTCATTTTTTTTTTTTTTTTTTTTTTTTTGTCCATTCTGATATGGCTTTCAACTAAATCGAGGTTTTGCAATCACTGCAACAGCCAAATGGATTCAGTCTTTTAAATGCATCACAGTCGCATGATTAGGCATAAATGTTGTTTTGTTTGCATTTGGTTAAATTGACACATCATTGAAATCTGGAATGTGTGAAATGTTTTGGAAAAATGAATGGGAATGACTCTTTTACGGCCTTGTGTTCATGCATGGCAAACAGCGGACCGGCATTCACACAAATATATAAAAGTTAATATTATCTAATCGCCATTCGATATACTGTATATGTTCGCCGTTTTTACTTTTTTAGAAAAATCAGGAGATTAGGTATATCAGTGCTGTGTGGAGATGATTTTATGGATGGAATCATTTTATGGAGCAGTGATGAGAATAGTTTTTTTTGTGTGTGTTTAATTCGAGGTATTTGGGTTGTGGTGGCGCTTTGGTGATGATCGTTACCACAAAACGTATTATTTTGTTCCATGAGAGGATTTATTTTCTTGCGTGTGAGTGCGTAGTCGTCTAAGTATTTGTGAGAGTGCGTGTATATGTCGTGTGAATGTGTGAGTGAGTGAGAGTATGTTGTGTGAGTGTGCGTGAGAGAGCGTGTGTTTGCAGTGCGAGTACGTTGTGTGAGTGTGCGTGAGAGGGCGCTTTGTGTGTGTGAGTGCGAGTACGTTGTGTGAGTGTGCGTGAGAGCGTTTGTGTGTGTGAGTGCGAGTACGTGTGTGAGTGTGCGTTGTGTGCAGTGCGAGTACGTGTGTTGAGTGCGTGAGAGGCGAGTGAGTACGTTGTGTGAGTGTGCGTGAGAAGTGCGCCGTTGTGTGAGTGTGCGTGCGTAGTGCCGTGTGCGTGAGTAGAGTACGTGTGTGAGTAGTGCGACGGTTGTGTGGTGTGCGTGAGAGGGCTGTGTGTGCAGTGCGAGTACGTTGTGTGAGTGTGCGTAGAGGGCGTTTGTGAGTGCGAGTACGTTGTGTGAGTGTGCGTGAGAGGCGTGTGTGTGCAGTGCGAGTACGTTGTGTGAGTGTGCGTGAGAGGGCGTTGTGTGTGTGTGTGCAGTGCGAGTACGTTGTGTGAGTGTGCGTGAGAGGGCGTGTGTGTGCAGTGCGAGTACGTTGTGTGAGTGTGCGTGAGAGGGCGTGTGTGTGCAGTGCGAGTACGTTGTGTGAGTGTGCGTGAGAGGGCGTGTGTGTGTGCGAGAGTGTGGGTATG